GGCTGGGGGATTCTGGGAGTTGAAGTCCACAGGACTTAAAGTCACCAAGGTTGGGAAACACTGCTGTAGACAATGTGCCTCTCTCTTGCCTATAATCTTTCCCTTAACTCACATATTCCATACATGCCATGTATATTTTCCCCAAGTCCTCCAGTGATTCTTTTTTAAAGCCCTTCCAACAATACTTTCTCTGACTCTTGGTCTGTTCCTATTTTACTCCCCCCCCCACACACACTATTGTTCTACTCTTTTACCATTTTCCATCCTCCCTCACCTCGTTCCCTGTCAGGTAGGTAATACTGACCTCAATTAGCATTGCTGAGCAGAGTCTGAACTAAACAATATGCTCTGCTTATTTAGGAATCTGGTATGATGTATAAAGCACTAGAATGAGCTGATAGATGTGCAATACATTGGCCTTCTGGTTTATGAACATTTGTGGATAATCCTCAAAGCATGTGCTAGGAAATTTATCCCCACAAGGGATTTCATTCCATTCTGCAGCATCCAGGGCCATCAGGACTTCAGGAAGAAAGTTGTTACTACCTATCATAACAAAAATTTCTACCAATCTGCCACAAAAGAGCAATTAAAGAAATGTGTTAATCCCTCCCCCTCCCCCAGAAAAGAGAGGGGGCCTGAAAATTCTGGCCCTGACCCCTAATATGGTCTTAGTGTTATCACCGCATTTCCAGTGAGCTTCCGCAGGCTAAATAATGAAGAGAAGGCACACTCCAACCTCAAAACTAGCTTATCCCTATGATGAAGAGAATAATAGATGTTTCCAAATGTTCCCTGCAGCTGGATCAGGGCACACTGATGTCTCTGACTCCGGGATCTGAAAAAATGTTTTTCCAATCCAAGCACTGAGATGTTGAAAAGGAAAATCAATTTTCTTCCTGCCAAACTTAGGGATGGGTCGTCTCCTCGTGGCATGAAATAGGGTGTTATATCAAAGTGGATGTTACCCAAGCCAAATTCTGAAATTCAGTTCCCATTACATTCCTGAGAATCTCAGGAGCACATTGACGGCCCAAATACCTCTTCTTGACCCTTGCTGCTCCTTTTCCATCCAATTATTCAGCAGTATCAGGGCCATGGGGAGGTCACAGCCTCTCCGTGATAATGGTATGTTCTGAGTTGTTTATTCTGACCAATTCCACCGTCCATGCTGAGGTTTCCTATCAGGAGTGGCTCAGGAATTCATGGTTACTATAGCAACTACAGAGTCTATTGTGAGTTATTTCTGGCCCTACCCATTCAGCTGGATATAGTTTTAACTAGATAATGTTAACTACCGTAGATGTCCTATTGGGTTATTATTTTAAGATATTTCCTTACATCAGCTGAAAAATAGAATGACCATGGACAGACCAAAGAATAATGGGAGAGAGAACAACTTCCAACTTCCTGCTGGCTTCTCCACTGTTTTTCTTGTNGCTTGGGAAGTCACCAACACACTGATACATATTTCCAACAGAGAGCAGATCATCACTTTCATTTCTGTGAAGAGGTAAGAATACTATGGTGGCTAGGTTCTAATGACATATTAGAGAAGAGTATAATCAGAGAAATTGCTGACAGTTTAATCTCAATTTACAGCATATATATAATTTACAATGATAAATAAACGATAGAAAACGTTCACATGCTTTTTACTACAGAACCAGTCCTTTGTAATGTAGTGATAAAAATAAAATTAAAATGGAACCAAGCTGTGAGTTACATTCAAGGCTCGCTATTAAATGTTTACATTATTGGTATGCACTTTAAAGCTTGGAATGTTATTATTTATAACCTCAGAATAAACAAAATGTTCGTTACAAAATTTAAAGACTAATGTTGCAAGGGAAATGGACTAAATGACCAATGATCTATAATTAAACTGGGATATTGGAAACATTTCAAAGTAAGAATTGACACATTATGCTTCATGGGGAATAATAAATGCCAATTGCATGGTTTAATCACAAAATAATTGATATCAGTTAAATAGATCTAATATCCCAAGTCCAAATAAATAATTAATAAAAAATAAACAGTTGTAAACAAGTGTTTCCAAAAAGGAAGGAAAGAAGGAAATTCAAAAGCAATTAATACTGCCATTCTGTAGAAGAATAAAGATGGCGGTAGGTGAAGGAATTGGCAGTACTCTTCAATATAGACATATATTTTAGTGACAATGGTTCCACTGTCCACCTGCCATTAACTGTTCTGTACTGAAAAGTACTTAGGTAGGTGCAGCATTTTTGAACAAAGTTTCCATTTTACACTTTCTTCGCTCAAGAGCTTCTTGCTTTTTTCGTGCAATTTCTTCTTGAGAACACCTCGTACTTTTATATTCTGCAAAGAAAAGGCAAATGGTCTGATGTAGCCACATTTACTTGGAATCTTATGTTTCTATTAATCAGGAGTAAGAGGAACTTTATTAATATACCAGAATAACTCTTGCCCTCTAATTCTTGCAAAAACGTCTACCAAGTAAAAGGGGAAGGGGGGGGATCACTTGTATCAAGGGCAATTCAAAATCTTGCCCACTTCAAGAACAAACTTACAGAATCTAAGGAAGTGGAGTAAGAAGAACAATTATTAAAAATTCAACTATTAATTGTAAGCATCACTTGCACTGTTTCATTTCTAAACATGGATTTTGGCAATCTTGTTAAATAATTGGTATCATATTGGATTGATTAAAAAAAAAGCATGAAATGAAATTAGCTCTAGCTACATCCAAAGATCAGAAGAGAAAGCATTAATGCCAGGCAGATGAATCATAAAAGAAAAATACACCACGGAGAAAACAAAGGAAGGAACTAGCTCATATAGCACAAATAAACTTGAACCCACATTGTTCTCCTATGGGATTTCTGCAGTTTGTCAAAAGTTTTATTTTACAATATAAAGCCCAAATGATACCAAAGTGCCCTTCCCTTGTAGGAAATCTCTGTATTCAAGCCCCAGTAGTGGGTGTGCCAGGAAGTCTAACTGATCAACAGAAATTCATTATTGGTTGAAAAGCATCCTTAATCTCATCTAACAATGTCTTTATTCAGATATAGTACCTTATCTATGACAGAGCAGGTTTAACTAATGCTGCAGTGCCAGTGTGCATTCTATAAAGATCCAGGGATTCCACACAGGATTTCATGAATGAAGAGGGTTCACCAGCTTACCAATAAGAAATGTGCTAAGAATCCAGCAACACCTACCTTTCTCAGATGGTGCAAAATCAATGCTCTTAACAACTGGCTTGCCATTCATGACTTTCTGAAATGGAATATTTGGCGCATTCTTGCTTTCCCATAGTCCCTTGTTAGTTCCAGAAAGACTGCCTACATTCACATTTTTATGGTCCAAAACAAGGGCTTGAATACTACTGGTCTTTTTGAACATATATTTGGATTTTTCAGAAGATAACGGATTGCCATTCGTTTTTATTTTGCCCACATCATGGCCATTCTGCCATTGTCTATTATTGTTTATCTGTACACTGGGCATAGTAGCTATGCCAATTCCAGATGCAAAGCTTCCTTCAAACACTGTAGACCTATTTGCAGAATTTTCATTCTTCCTTATTACAATGGGCAGATCCAATGAAAAGGTCTTCCTGCCTGTACAATTCTTCTCAGTCTGCTGGCAAATGGAAAGCCCTTGACTGGTCCCTGGCTGACAAAGGCTCAGTGCCAAATTGGAAGTACTCTTTGCCATTGATTTCATTTTTCCAGTTTCCTTCATACCCATTTGACTCTGTGTTTTCCTTTCTACATCATCACAAACTTGATAAAGCAAGTCATCATCATCATCGTCACAGTGGGTGCCCCAAGAGGTATTAGATTCACAAAACAATTCTAGAACTTCATCTGAAAACTTGGGATCGCCCCAATCATCAAATGAAAACATGCTTTTCTTTGCCACAGATGTCTGTTGTGGACAATCAGAGATTCCCTGGTTGGCTGCTATCTTTCGATCATGATGGTTTTTATTGGCAGAAACAACTGAGGCATTGTAGCTTGTGCCATGCACCTGGCTTTTGAATTTCCCAGTTGATAATTTAGGAAGATCGGAATCTGAAATTGAAGATCTTTTTTCGGAAATAATATTTGTAGCACTTTTAAGATGGGAAGGGCCATGAGGCACATTCCTATGTTCAGATTTCACTGAAGTACAATTATAGACCAGAGTGTTGTTTTGCCTAGTTTTAGAAAATGAATCCACCTTGTTGGTTTTTAATAAGCTATCTTCATGAAAAGGAATAATCTTGACTTTTTCTGTCCGAAATTTTTGGTTTGACATGGTAACACATGATACTGGTATGGTATTGGAAGAATTATAAACTCCGGCCTGGGCGATAGGCGGCTTGTTGGAATTTACAGTCCATTTTTTTGATTCCCCCTTTTCCTCAGAAATAATAACATCTTCTGCACTCTTCATCAATTTGGGCTCCTGAGTAATTTGCATGAGAAGTGAATCATCAGTTAACAAATCAGCATCCCAGTCATAGTTGTCATCACTGAAAGTATTGGCACGATTTTTATTAGAAAGCTCTGAAAATGTTTGTGCAGAAGTTGTCCTAGCTTTTTGAGTTAGAAGGAATTCTGAATGCTGTTTAAGATGCATGGCACTTTGCCCTTGAGGTTCAACCGAAGGCTGCTCTGCCTCCAGCAAAGTACCCTTATCCTGCACAACAGTGATCAAGGAACTGTTTAATATACCTTGGCTCAAACGGCCACTACACTTTTGGGTAGAACAATCAAAAAGCTCATTTAGTGCCCCTTCAGCATCTAGATCAATGGATTTCTGGCTACTGCTCTTGGGACTCTTCGCTGTCCCAGCATTATCCTTAAGACTTCCATGGGACAAAGTAGAGTTAACTGCAGGATGTTCATTCAGCAATTGCCAACCATCTTCTCTCTGCACCTGGATATGATGGTCAGTTGATGGTTTTGCTGTTGATGAAACATGGATAGAATTTGGCAGCAAAACGTTTTGTTCCTGGACTGCATCAATCAGATTTTTATCAAACTGCTTTGCTAACTTCATAAGTTCCTCTTCTCCATGTTTTAACTGATGATCTCTACATGAACAAGCAATGGAAAAAAATGTTACCAACATAAGGTATTTGGAAATAGCTCATTTTATAATTATTGGAAGATGGATCAATCATATCACAACAAGATTCAACTCCTGCAAAAAATTAACTTTTTAAAAATAGTTCTGCATTTTTCAACACCTTTACCACTACGTCAAACTGTTCTCTGGTTTTCCTACATAGAGGTTTTGTGATTCCAAAAACCAAACAGCAAGTTTCCCAACATACCTTGCAGTATTTATTTTTGTTCTAGATCGTGCTTTTGTTACTCCAGGAGTACAAGGAATTGCATCTTTGCCAATCCATAGCCCAAGAAGAGATCCTTCATAACAGGCAGGTTTTTCATCCTAAATAGTAAGAATAAACATTATCAGTTTGATTAAATGGACATACAGTAAGTATCTATCTAATTTAGCTCAGTGTTATGAATTCTAAAAGTATTTTCTGAATTTTTCAATAGTGAGATTGTCCTCAGGAGGGCAAATGACAAACATGCATGATGACATTACAACACATATGCTTCATTTTACGTATCTGTATCAGATATTAGGATACATAATCATGACATTTTTGCAAATATATCTTTGAACACATATAATTATTCTGGCATCATCATGTTCTGTTGTGGACACTGCTATTTTCAGACATTTATATCCCAATTTTCTGTCAAACCTAATCTCAAAGTAGCTAAGTGATTAGTTTTAATACAATTACATGGAATTAACTTATATTATTATACAGGATGGGCAATGTAAAAAAATGGAGGATAGGCAGATTTCTATGTAGAGAACAAAATGTCAGCTTTTTTTTTGGGGGGGGGGGTGATCTTTTCCCATCTGGGATAGAAATCCTTTCCACCAAGCCTGACATTCATGGGAAATCTTGGATTAGCCTGGTTCCAACATGATGGACTGGAACTGGAACCCCTTGGAGACAAGGATCTTACAGGCCTTCTTGTCTTGGAAAGAGAAATCATTTTGAAGGACCACTTCATGATCTTCCTCCTCCATTGGCTCTCACTTTAAACTATTTAAAGGTCTGAGGGAAGGAGAGCCCTGGGATAAGCCAGTGCCCAGGAAACTTGTGCTTTGTGTCCAAGGAGATATCTCTTCCCACTGCACCTAAACAACTGAATGAGCAATCTACTCTGGCTATAAAAATGAAGATCCAAGGAGAAGTATCGTCTCAAAAGTCACACATACAGACTGAACATATTTCCATCTCTTGAACCTCTCCATGATATAAGCCAATGTGTTCTTTCCATCTGGATAGATTTCCTGGGGTACAGAGTCACCTTTCGGGGACCCAGGTGATTAAAGAAGTAACAGGATATGAGGGAGAGAGTGTAGCAAGAGTGTTTGCCTTATCCATCAAATAGAAAATAACCCATAAATCATTATTAGGAAAAAGGAAGAGAAATCTTCCATCCTTCTCCTTCATCTCCTCCAAGCCAGCAATCCTTGATCTCAAAGGCAGTAGGGCAGGGGTTTCAAACTCAAGGCCCACGGGCCAGATGTGTTGACAGAGTGCTTAGATCTGTCTCACGGGGCTGCCCTGGAAATAGCGAATGACTGGTCCGTGGTGCTTCTGCAAGTGAAAATGGAGCTCATGAGGGCCACACGACCTCTGTTTTCACTGGCAGAGGGCTGTAGGAGGTCATCCCAGCCAAAAATGGAAATCAGCAGCCTGTTTTCACTGGCAGAGTGCTTGGGCCACCACAGGCACCACCAACATGAGTAACATCAATCTGGCCACGTCCACCCCAGCCCCAGAGGTCAAATGCAACCCTGATGCAGTCCTCAATGAATTAAGTTTGACACCCCTGCAGTAGGGAATGATTTTACTACGTTTGCAGAAGCGGCACAGTCTGTTTCCCTTCCCTGAAATCAATCAGGATCAGAGCTCCCCAACTGTATTTCCTGGTGCTCATACTCAACCGGCAACTGTAAAATAGCAGACACATGCAGCCAAAGTCTCCTAATATGTCCAGTTACAAAAAAGAACTTCTTAGGCCTTCAGAGACCATAGAGTTTCCCACAATGATCGACGGTTAGGTAAAAGGAAGTATAAACTGGGGTGCTGACCTCTACTCTTTGGAGAACATAAAAAACCCAAAATGGTTCTATCAATCACAACTATCCGGTTCTATGGCAGAAGCAATCCTCTAACCAGAGTTTCAATAAGCCCCCTTATATTTTGACATCTCATAATTCAGTGGTGGCTGAAAGCAGAATGTCAAAACGGGCAGGATTGGGGCACTGCTAAGATCCTTAGCGGCATGGAAAGTCCACTGCCAATCTGGAACCGCATCAGCTAACCAGCATTCTATTTTTTAATGTTAGCACTAACTGGGAGAAGGGGAACATCGCAAAGCACATTTGCACTACTACCCTGAATTCGTATGACTTATTTTCTGTATTCATATAATGAAAATTAAATTTCAATGTATTCAAACAAATGTTTTTTTTCTAAAGATTGTCATCTTAAGGAAAAGCCAAATACCTCACATTCAGAAGGATCAGGATGTGAATGTTATCTGATAATCTAAATCAGTAGTTTAAGCATATTCTTGGATAAAGGAAGCAATTTATAATTGTGAAAAAAAGGTTATTTAGACAAAGAAATTAACAAACACTGGATAAATATCTATGGAGATTCTCAGTCATCCAGGTGACGATTTTCCCAAAGGTGCTTTTTAAAAAGGCAAGTAGAGTTTGTTTTTTCTTGAAGATGTTTCGCTTCATCCAAGAAGCTCATTTAGTTCTGA